ACTAGACTGGTTTAAATCTTATCTATCTGATCGAATTCAGTTTGTTCATGTTAATGATAGATCTTCAACACGCTCAAAGGTTACCTGTGGAGTACCACAGGGATCAGTGCTAGGACCAATTCTCTTTACTTTATACATGCTCCCAATTGGTAGAATTATTAGACAGCATGGGATTAATTTCCACTGTTACGCTGATGATACCCAGCTATATCTGTCTATAAATCCAGATGAAGCTAACCCATTACATAGATTACAGGCATGTCTTGAAGACATAAAAACCTGGATGACTCTTAACTTTCTGCTCCTGAATGCAGACAAAACAGAAGTTATAGTCTTTGGACCAGAGTCTCTGAAAAAGAAACTGATTAGCCAGTCACTTCATTTGGATGGGATTAAACTGATTTCAGATAATAAAGTAAAAAATCTTGGTGTTATTTTTGATCAGGACCTGTCATTTAAATCCCACATCAAAGAGGTTTCTAGAATTTCCTTCTTTCATCTGAGGAACATTACAAAAATTAGAAATATCCTGTCCAGGGGTGATGCTGAGAAACTAGTCCATGCATTTGTTACTTCAAGGCTGGACTATTGTAATTCTTTACTATCAGGAAGTCCACAAACTGTAGTTAAAAGCCTTCAGCTGATCCAAAATGCTGCAGCCAGAGTTCTAATGAAAATTTAAAAGAGAGATCATATCTCGCCTATCCTGGCTTCTCTTCATTGGCTTCCTGTTAAATCAAGAATAGAATTTAAAATCCTCCTTCTCACATATAAAGCCTTAAATGGCCAAGCTCCATCTTATATCAGAGATCTGATTGTTCCTTATGTTCCTAACAGAGCACTTCGCTCTCAATCTGCAGGTTTACTAATGGTTCCTAGAATTTCTAAAAGTAGAATGGGAGGCAGATCTTTTAGTTATCAGGCTCCTCTCCTGTGGAACCAACTACCAGTTTTAGTCCGTGAGGCAGACACCCTGTCTACTTTTAAGGCTAGGCTTAAAACTTTCCTTTTTGATAAAGCTTATAGTTAGGGTGGCTCAGGTTATCCTGAGCTATCTCTATAGTTATGCTGCTATAGGCTTAGACTTTTGGAGGACATAGGGACCCCCATTTCATCATTCTGCTTCATTCTCTCTCTGTTCTCCTATTCTGCAGAATCTGTTAGTTCAATCTCTAACCTTCTGCTCTCTCTGCTTTTCCTCAGAGTAGCTTTGCCTCGTCTGTTCCTGTTTGGCTGTGACGTCATCCTGGAAAGAAACATCAGCTGTGCTGCTTCTATCAACACCCTTGTTTATAGATGTTGGAGATCGGCCTGTTTTCCAGTGTGGTCCTGTTTCTCTGACCGTGACTGAGTGGATGTGCTCTCTTCGTCCTCTGGCATGGGAGCTGCCTTGGAGCTCGTCTGCCTGGCTGCGTGTTTCCTGGACGGGGCCGCCTTTTACAGCTGCTTTTTGTATCTCTGCTTCTGTCTCCTTGAACCCCAGTCGGCCTCGGCAGATGGCCGCTCACACTGAGCCTGGTTCTGCTGGAGGTTTCTTCCTGTTAAAAGGGAGTTTTTCCTCTCCACTGTCGCTACAAGCATGCTTAGTGTGGGGGATTGTATTTGAGTCAATGAGTCAATGCAATCAACTGGTTTTCCTTAGATAGAAAACTTTGTATCAATTTGACTGTATGATCTGGTTGAACTGCAAAGTGCCTTGAGATGACATGTGTTGTGAATTTGGCGCTATATAAATAAACTGAATTGAATTGAATTGAACTATTCATATTCATTCAACTTTCATTTGAGGTAATTTGGTTATGGTAGGTTCTTCCATTAGGACGATGATCCCAAATAAATATCTGACAGAATACTATCACTGATTTTGTAAAGCGTAAATCAACGTCCTCTCAGGGGGCCTGTAAGTTCCAATTCTGCGAGAGTGTGATAAAATATGACCCATGCCAGAAATCTAATGATGACTGAAAAATAAGTGAGGTGTCCTTGAAGTTACTAAGCATTTATCTACACTTTTTTTTTTTATACATACTGATGAGCATATTTGTATTTACAATTTTAAGTAAGCACTTATGCATACATTCATAATCAATTCCCTTATTTTAAAGTCATTTAATTTCTCATCTAAAAAAAGGAGACTTCCTGTCTCAGATTTCAATCTGAAACAACCCAATGAGTCAGAGATAACCGATAGCAAGCTCTTAAATGTTCCTGGTACTGAAGGGCAGTTTTTTCTAACTTGTCATTTCCAGGTTAGAGATCGGCACCATCTCTGCGTTTAGGTCTGAGGTTATTGGATAAATTGATTTCTAGCTGACCTTTCCTGTTCGCTCCGCTGATGCAAAGAGTTCTTAATGATCCTGTGCTGTCAGAGGTGGTGGAATCATAGATCCCAGCAGACACCATTAGTCTTCCATACTGGGGCTGACTTTCTGATCAAAGGAGTGGGCCCAGTTGATACACACCAGGTTGACACAACGAAAGCACCTGTTAATGCTCTGCAATATGTCATAAAATCCAAGAGGAGAGGCTGCATTTACAAATCAACACCTCAGAAGCTGAAGCAATTAATTAAACTTTGAGGTAAGACTCCGTCCTTTGCATTGGAGTATTTATTGTCCAAAGCAAAAATAAGAAAGTAGTCCAAAATCTTTATCAGTTTTTGCCTTAATTAGTAAAAAAATAAAATAAATAAATAAATAAATTAAAAAAAAAATATATATATATATATATATATGTATTTTTTGCATTCATGTAAAATTCAACAGGGGCACATAAAGACAGTAAATTGATGTTGCGATAACTAACAATTGTTTTATGACATTCTATTTATTTTCATAAAACATGTCCTTTTCATAAAACAATAATAAAAAAAACAGTTTACTACAATGTAAATATTTTTATATTTCTTATTTCAGAATATTGCACTGATAAAAGAATGTTGAACAAGTCCAGTTGCTGATTTTAGTTGTTTGAAAAATAAAAAAAACATGCATTCTTTTGCTTCTTTATAGCTAAAGCTAGGGGTCAAGGTAGAGATGATATTTCAGGTTATTAACATTCAGTTTCGTTCATCTGAAAATAAGTAATTATATGTTTATATTTGTGGTACAGTATGTTCCGATGATCAGTCAGCTGAAAATCTCCTATTTTATGGATGATATGTATGCTCACAAAATGCATGCTGAAAGAATATTTTATTGAGGAAACTGAAACTTACAAGACACAAGAAAAAAATAAATAAAACAACAGACAGCAGTAGAATCAAGAGGTGAACAACTAGTAGCCTAAATACTGTGGAGATGTGAGGACCAACATGTAAACCAGATGGGTTTAAATGGCAGGTGCAAAGTAGCTGGAGAAATAATCTTAGAAGATGATGAAGTCAATATAGACAGAATACATAAAGATTTACACAAAAATACCAGCAGCAGATGACAGAAAACCCAGTGAAAAAGACTGAAATCTATGGATGCAAAATTATAGCATTTGACACAAAGGTAGAAAACACAGACACAAACTAAGGGATATTAGTTCTACTTAAAGACACAATAATTAGGCCCGAGCAGCGACAGCGCTCCAAAGGCCTATTATATCTGTGGTGTTTATTATTCTTATTTTTCTCCTGACAAAACAAGTGGCTTTTTGGAGGCGTTAAGATGTTCAAAAACTCCCCAAACTTGGCAGTAAATTGTCCCCCGACGAAAATGTAAGTATTTTAATGGAATTCAAAAATGGGTGTGGCCAAATGGCTCTACAGCGGCCCCCAAAGGGAGATGGGGAAAACTGCAATTCACAGAGATTTGAAATATGGCAGGTAGGTAGATCTCAACGAATCATGAAAAAAAAGAAATCTCTTGGAGGTATGCTCTAAGGCCCCGTCCACACGAAGTCAAACCCTGGCCTAAACGCACAAATTTTTCACCAAACCAGCCTCTCATCCATACGAAGCCGGCGTTTCGGGGGTCTGTAAACAATCTTTTTTTTATTAAGCCTTCAGAATGGGAAGATTTTAAAACGCCGTTTTTGCGTTTCCATCTTGAAACTCTAACCGCATTTTTTTTCTTACACGCATGCGTAATAGCGTTGCCTCTAAACACGCATGCGCGACACAGTATCACAACAACAATGGCACCATACTGTGTTGAATGGTTGCTGCTCATGCTACTCACCCTGCTGTCGGGCTTACAACAGAATCTTCTTCTTCTGGAATATCTCCAGGAAGAACAGAGCAATATAGACGACATAGTTCATCACCTCAATTTGACTGAACCACGAAAATGGACCCGCAGGACCATTTTCCGGTTTTCCGGTTTGGTTGTTTTATAAATATTACTGCGCATGCCCAACATTTTGTTGCCTGTTTTTGCCTATTTTTGCTTTGGCACCACAGCGCCACTTAGAGGCCTGGCATACATTTTGCAGCGTTTTCATGCATTCGTGTGGTCGATCACATTTATTTTACGTCTCCGTCTTTACGACAAACGTTCTGGAAAATATTAGCGTTTCGTGTTTGTTTTGACTTCGTGTGGACGGGGCCTAAAACCTACAGGAAGTCGGCCATTTTGAGTCAAATGTCGATTTTTATTTTTTTTTTACAATTTTTCAATTCTCTGGGCGTCGAATTTTAATTATCTCCTCCTAGCATTTGAGCCATCGGCTTCAATTAATTTTGTTTTTGTAGGCTGAACCACATATTGAAGTTCAATTTTCAACAAAAAAAACAAACAAACAAAAAAAAGAAAACATTAAATAGATTAGTGATGTAGGGAATTTTCACTCTTTTTGACGCTCCTCCATGTCTGAACAACATTCTCACAAGCAATGTTTCCTCCTCATTGCCTCCTCCCTTTTAAACCTGTTCTCCCTCTGAAGCCTGGGAATAATGTCCGTCGCGTTTTTTTTTTTTTTTTTGGGGGGGGCGCTCGGCATTGGGGGGCATGTGGAGGGGGGCTTTAACCCGGTCACAGCGCAGGGAAGTTGCGCACCGTGTTAGTGCGTTGCCATGGGGATTTGTCAAACCTATTGACTGCAATAGGGTCCTTGCTTTTCTTCTGAGTCTGTCTTTGTTAAAGGGGGAGGAGGAAGGACCCCCTACTACTTTTTTCCCCTTAAGTCTCGCAAAGGCGCGTGAGGAGGCAAGAGGAAAAGTAGGAGGAGGAGGGGAGCCGAAAGGAGCAACAGCATCCAGGGAAGGTTGAAAAGGGAGGAGGAGGAGGAGACGCTGAGGTGTTCTGCTTTGGACCAACAGATAAGGGAAGCGGCTCTACGTTTAACAGTCACACCTCCACCTCTTTCTGCCGCCGGTGGACGCAAATCAACTTTGGGAAGGGCTGCGGCATGAGACGCACCTGACGGTGAGTTTGCATCACTTTATGGCTCATGGTGTGCGAGAAAATCTTTCCTCTTGGTTAATAGCTGTCAGTCTGATCATTTATTGGCATCTGGATGTTGCAAAAATAAATAAATATAGAAATAAATAAATGGTACCACTGTGCACCGGTAAAAACCTGTACTTTGTTCAATATTGGCTATTTAAGAATTTATATGTTTGATTTAAGGTTTACATGTCAGATGTATTATTTTAATAACACGTGTTTAATTGGATCAAGGTGTGTTGCATGTTTTCCTTTTTTAAAATAATAATACATTCCTGTCGCTTAATGTGATAATTATACATTTTTCTAAGTTTCAGGTAGATTTATATTTTATTGAAATAAAAATAATAAAAAATCTTTATTTTATTTTATTTTATTTTAATGCCTGTCATAGCTGGTCTTATAACAGGAACCCCCACCGTTTTATATGTTGGGAATCTCTTTGAGATCTACCTGATATCTCCACTGCTAATACACAGAAACATTGATATCTGTTTTTTTAGTATTCTATTCTCATCTCTTCACAGTAGCATATAAATTATTTGAGCAATATTTCTAAATAAAAGAGACATAAAATGCTTATCTAGAGGTGGTTCATAGTTTGGGGCTTGAACTGATGTGTGGGGTGTTTAAAACCAAGAAGCATTCATTCTCAGGATGATGTTCTAAAATCCAGTATGATAATTAAGATATAAATGTTAAAATATTTCAATGTAATATATATCTGAATGCAATTCCTGTACTTTACTTCCCATCTTTTGCTGTTACTTGTTTAGAAAATTAAAAGTTCAGGAGGGACTGTAAACACCTGTTTTTATCTCTGAGGATTATTTGAGTCATTTAGGTTTTATACCAATACCAAATCCGAGTCCCTTTTCTCACTGAATTCAATAAAATTATTGCATTGCTTATGTTTAGCAGTGCAGTAAATTAAAAATGTATTTTATCTATATAAACTCTCAACACTCTACAGTAAATACTGTTCAAGATTTTGTTTGTCGCCTGTTACTTTTTTTTTTCCTGAGATAAGGGGATTTTGGCCCAACTGGTGTTTCTGCAAGTTGGACTAAATATACTGCTATAACGTAGCATCTACATGTATCACCAGACAGCAAGATACACTTTGTGAAATGTACAGATTTAAAAATGACTCCATTTATATACAGATGTGAAGTGCAAGCTTAATCTGCAGCATAGTGCAGCAACTGACACAACATGGAGGTCTCAGTGAGGATGAAGGGAGGTCGACAGCAGGGCAAGTCAGTGCATTATCCAATGTTTGTTTTGTTTCTAGTGAGGAAACGCAGACAGCTGTTGGTAAAGACAGTAGCTATGTTTGCACGTGCAAAATGTGCTCTGATTTAAACAAAAAATTGTACTTCTAATTCAAAATTTATATTAGATCAACATCTAACAACTGGATTGTGCACCCACCTTTATTCAAAGTAGAAGCTCTCTGACATGTGCAGAGTTTTCAGTTTTTCCTTAAAGGGGTCTTAGAATGCTTATATAGGTATTTGGTGCTGGTCCTTAATGTCTCTGAATTGGGTGTGTAACATTGGTTTGGCTGAAAATGGCATATTTGCTGTTCTATGCACCCTAATGCAAGCCTGGTTATTAGCCCTAGAATGAAATGATAGGTTTTCTTCCTTTTATGGTATGATCAAGAATATTTAGATGGGCTGTGTGTGATTGGTTGGTTTACAACGAGCGAAGCTGCTGAACAAAGACGCATCAGAGCAACAAGCACTCTCTGAAACATCAAAATTGTTGATATGGTAGGGTGACCAGACGTCCTCTTTTTCCCTGACTTGTCCTACTTTTCATTCCTTAAAAAAATCTCAGGGGGGGAATTTCAAAATCGTCCGGGATTTTGGTCAACTACAGTGCAGCACATAGTCGAGACACACTGGGCACTCAGCCACAGAGTCTGGGGCTTGCCCGCGAACCCCTTTGGATGGGGGCAGGGAGCCAGCCAGGAACGGCGGCTCATGGCTTTCTGGTGAGGTCGGGTCCACTCAGCTGCCCAGCAGTCAACACTTCAGGTCAATTAGATAGATGCTGGTCAGATTATGGACCCTCTCAATTTTACTCTGATAAAAACACCCTCAGAAGAAAGATACGACTTTTATTCGAAGTAAAAAAAAATCTGTTTCAACTCCTTGAAGAAAAGCTGCTTGTAGAAGCATCCTTTGAAGAAAACTATGAACATGTAAATGTAATTTAACTATAGTGCAGTTTGAGCTGAACAGTCTATGAAAATGTGTTAATGCTTTGGTTGATTGTCAGCAAGGGTCTTTTTGGTTTCATTTCTCTGTTGTGCCAAATTATTTTCCCTCAGTACAGCAGCACAAAAGTGAGGTGACCTGCAGTTTAAATTAACTCTTTTATAAGGTGCTTATTTTTAAAGAATGGTTACATTGTATTAAATATCAAAGTAGTAGCGAAACAGCTGTTCCAACCGTTGCATTTCCGAATTTTCCCGAGTGCTGCCCGACTTTACACAAGTGAATAAAGTGAATGCGATTGGTTGTTTATCTAGGGGGCGGGATTGTAGTGGCAGAAGGTTCGCAAGCAATTTTGGTTGTGACCAGTTTTTCAGAAGCATCTTGCTAACCATTTAGCAACTTTGTGCTAGTAGGTTCCCAATGGGAAATTACATTTGGACCAATAAGCACTTAGAAACGATACTGCCAAGGGACGCTATCAACAGCGGAAACACGCAAGAGGAGGAGAGTTTTGTGTCCGAAGTTGTGGATGTGTCTCCTCCGTCATACATTTTTTATTTAGAGGAGGAAAGCAGGGACAAAGTTGTTATGGAAGAGGACGCCAGGGTGGCAGAAACATCGTTTGATGTAGAAGGCTCACAACTGTACATGTTTGAGCCCTTGCCTTGCAACTCTTCTGTTAGCTCTACGTCTGCCGAAGTCACAGACGTCATCCCTGTGAACACTGGGACGCAACTCAATGGTAGAGCAAATTATTCTTATTTCTTATTTCAACCGTTGCATGTATTAGCTTTGACATATGAATCAAAATGATATGACCAAAAGAAATTTGATTGACAGATGACCGTTAATATATGACTGGCCAAATTTAGGTGTACAAGCTGACGTATAACTAACTGGCCTGCATAAGATAATGAAAAAACAGGATTTTTTTTAATAGAAATTTTCTTTTGGGACAATATTGTCTGATAAAGAGTACATTTATATACATGTTTAAGCCAGAATGATTTGACATTTAAATATGACTCCCCTACGAAGTCAATTTTTGTCAATATAAATAATTGACAAAAAATAAGTTTAACACTATCAAACCTCTTCTTTTTTTGGAATAAAGAGGTTAAAATAAAATACATTATATATTTATCCAAAAATTAGATTTAAAGAGCAATACTTTTTGTTAAATGATCAAGCTTGCTATAAAAGTCTTTTTCAGGTTAAAAAAAAGGACTGTCATGACAAACGCTGGCCTTACATTGTTTAACTTCAAAATAAACATATCGGTTGTTGGTGTATTTTATAGGCTTAGTATGTGACATGATTTTTGTGTACACTAATTCATGCAAACTTTTGCTGTAAACTTGTCCCTTACTTGATGCTGCTGGAACTTAATTTCACTACTATGATACAAAAATGCTTATTTTTTCTGTTTTATGCATTTGCACAAAACCAAACCACTTGTACTGCCTTTAAAAAGTATTATCTTACAATTAATATAAAAACTAATCTGAATTCATCTAACTTCAATGAAAAATTGAAGCCTTTCATTTCTCCCATCCTATGCATGCACAGAATATTGGTATGGTTTCCTCCAAGTTTCTCTTATTATTAACTGGACAATATGGAACTGGTTTGGTGTTAGCAAAGTCTGTATTGAAACAGTCGTGTGGAAAAGAGTTATTCATCCCCCCAGAACTCATATAAATTAGTTAAAGGACATAAATACAGATGTCCCTTCTGCAGCACAGAGATTTGGATTGTTTAGTTTTGAAGCAGGCCAGTAAATAGAGGCTAGTCAGCACAGGGATGCTCACTATTGGCTCTCACATGAGAACTGAACAGTGTGATGGACATTGAGACATCTCTCTATATCAGGAATAAGTGCATTAGAGCACCTCAGGATGGGAGATTATATAGATTCAATGTTTGTGGTTACTTTGCACTCATTAGCTGAACGCAGGTTTGTACATGGGGAGATACAGTTTCCACTTAGAAGAAAATTTGGGGTTGTGGTGTGAAATTATCACAAATGTCACATTGCACTATAAACAGATTTAAAAGTCAAAATATGTTCACAGGCAAAATAAAAAATCATGTTTTCATAATTAAATTACCACTGCTTTCCCGATTCCTCCTCTACACTTGAGAAAACAGCTTCTCATTACAGGCATTGACGATAGAGCGTAAACACGCATGACAAAACATTAACATGATTGATGAAAGTTAAATCTGCATGATTAAAATCACGTTAGAGTGGCATTTAAATCACAGGCAAATAGTGGTCATCACTGGTTTCTGTAATTGATGGGGTGTGGATGGAAGAGCTTGTCGGCTGTTTCTGATCGGCTCTTGGCGTTCATAAAGCACCCCTTCTCTCAAGAGGTCGTCATAGAGATTCCCTTGTAATGAATATTTACAGGGTATGTTAATGCATGTGTGGAACTGTTGCAAATTTTAGTGTTTCGTTTCTTCACTGCTGTTTTTTGGTTTCTCCGTGCAGACAGCTGCCTTTGAGAGAATCCCAGGAAACCGAGATCCTCTGTAGTTTACTTCTGATTTGCTGTTTGTATTCTCTTTGATGCTTTATTCGGATTGTAAAAAAAAATCATCTTGGCCTATATTGTCACTGAAAACAAAGAGGGAAGAATGTGGATTCCATCCAAGAGAACATGCCACTAGCAGAAATCTTCTTAAACTGGTGCTCTGGGTTCATTATAGTGTTAAATACAAAGACCATGTAAAGTGGAGGATGCC